CGATGCAGGGCGTCCTCCAGCCTCACGATCCGTACATGGTCTGGTACCAGCGGATTACCCGGCGTTTCATCAACCCCAGCTACACACCTCCCTCCACCCATTACCATCCAGCATATGACGTGATTTATGGATATGTGAGTTTCACTTCCAACCGATTAATTTTCATCTCTTTTTAGGTTTCTATGCATAACTGATCAATGATTATTGCAGGCGGCAGACATGGCATCGATGGTTGACGCGCTGTCCCTTAGCCTGGCTGACGGGCCCACCGGGAACGAGGTCCAGCGGGTTCGGGATATGGGCATGGCCAACTTGCGTCGATATGGACACGACTACCTCGTCCCCCAACGGGACACGTATGATGGCCACTCGATGCATTCGCAGTTCGAGCTCGGACAGAGTAGTTGTGGAGGTGATTTTACGACGCCGACATTCTCAGAGGACTACACCTTCCACAGCACTGCGTCGTCCGGCTCCCAGGAGGTGCCAGATACCAGCCAGCTGACTCCCCCCCGCCTCTAGACCCATTCACCACCATTACTCATTACAGGCGGCGGCGTGTCAGACAGAGGGCCGAGCAACCTGACCTAGATCAATGGCCCCGGATAGATGAATCGGGATAGTGTTAGCTTAGTTATTTCATGTAGTAAAATTTTTGTATAGATTAGGTATATAACATTTACATTTCTAATATAATAAATGTTTTTCGGTCAACATTTGTGTGTTATGTTCTTTGTTTCCCAATATGTTTTGATTTATGTATATATTGACTTGTCAACGGTGGTGGTGGAAGGTAGTGGTGTGAGGTGGAAGGTTGTTGGAGGTGGTGGTGGTGGAAGGTTGTTGGAGGTGGTGGTGGACGGTTGTTGGAAGGTGGTTGTGGTGGTGGGAGGTCGGGGTGGAAGGTGGTGGACGGCGGTGGAAGGCGGTGGTGGAAGGTGATGGTTGGAGGTGGTGGTGGAAGGTGGTGGTGGTGGTGGAAGGCGGTGGTGGTGGAGGGCGGTAGTGGAAAGGGGTTGGAGGTGGTGGAAGGAGGTTGGGGGTGGTGTTGGAAGGATGTTGAGGGTTGGGGCAAGAAACTGGTTTGGTGCTGCCAACCAGGTAAAACGCTGCCTGGGGCAGCGTTTTACCTGTAAACATATACAGATAAAACGCTGCCCCAGGCAGCGTCTTATGTTCAAGCATAAGACGCTGCCTGGGGCAGCGTTTTATGCTGTTGCCTTTTTTTTTAATTAATTTTAAAAAAAATAAACGAGGAAAAAAAAAAGTCAAACTATAAAAACGCTGCCTGGGGCAGCGTTTTTGTAGCAGAATTTTTTTTTTAAAAAAATAGAAAGTAAAACGCTGCCCGAGGCAGCGGTTTACCCCAGAAGCTTATTTTTGTAAATACTTTTGCCACGCAACCATTTTTGTAATTACTTTCGTAACGAAGCTTAGTTTCCTAAAACGTCCCAAACACATAACGTGAATTGCTGTCGTTAATGTGTTTCACTTTCCCAATCTCAAATTCCCCCAATTGCATTATGACCTATCTTCATCTTCTCCGATGATATCAAAACTAAAAATCGAAATGGAAGTGAGCTAAGCTGCCGTTTCATGTGTTTGGGTTCTTCTAAAGGAAGTGATTTCATTTCGGTTCTTCTGAAGAGGAAGTAAATTGAAATACCTGGTATGACTTGATCAAGTAATCGAATTGAAAAAATCGAATTGAACCTTAGATCTGAATAACGTTTGAAGTGAGATGATCCCCTATTTCATCTTCCAAACTAACTTCAATATCGACTGACGAAATAAGCTCTGAGATGTGAATGTAAGATCTGATCGGATCAGATCTGAATAACATTTGAAGTGAAATCCTCTTACAAAGGAGATGACAATGGAGGAAATAGCTAAATCAAAGAAACACGTATTTGGGATTAAAAGATAAAATTTGTCGTTTGCTTTGGTGCTAATGCCGTTTCTTGAGACTTTTATGGGCCCACATTAACGGCATTAATCCATCAGATAGCAAGAGAATTACAATTGAAAATAAAAGCAATATCTGGTACAGCGTGGGCCCACAAGGACGACTGATTGACAAAATTTTGCCAATCAGCCTGATTGACTGGGTTTGGCTCTCATATAATAGTCTTATAAAAGCTACCCTTTAGTTACTATTGTCAAAGTTTTACATTATTGTCACCATATATTATATATGGTCATATGTAATAAACTATACTGTCATTTGAATTATAACTTTCTATTCAATACAATTAAAAGGTTCTATTATTGACATCTACCTTTAATCCTTTATACTAATCCATATCCCAGTTCATAAATTATTGACCTCTTGATATATATGTAGTCCATTTTATAACTGAAATCATCTTAAAATATATATTGTCAGTAAAACTACACTAGTTTCGGCCATTCATTGAAATCGAAAGGTACTCTTACTAAACTGCCCTTATATTCCTTCTGTCCTTAATTTTTTTTTTCCCATTAATTTATAAGATATAATAGTCATATACGTGAAATCTTGTTGGATTCGTTTTTATAATTATAACTTCCTGCATTTGTATTTGTTAGTCCCATATACTATTTTGGACATATCAAGTATATATATTCATATCAATATATTCCATATTAACTTCTTTTTTTTTCCTATATTACTCATATTAAATATATTCAAACCTTGTAAATTGAAGGTAGATTGGTTAATAAACGGTATATATATATATATATATATATATATATATATATATATATATATATATATATATAGTCACTAAAATTAGTAATGTTGTCATTTGAACTATAGCTTTTAGCTACCCTTATACTTATATATATACATAATGTTGTTTATCAATTATTGTCAACTTAATATGAAATATATGGTCACTAAAATCAGTAATGTTGTCATTTGAATTATAGCTTTTAGCTACCCTTATACTTATATATATACATAATGTTGTTTATCAATTATTGTCAACTTAATATGAAATATATGGTCACTAAAATCAGTAATGTTGTCATTTGAATTATAGCTTTTAGCTACCCTTATACTCCATACTATATAGTGTAGTTTATCAATTATTGTCAACTTACAAAATATATGGTCACTAAAATCAGTAATGTTGTCATTTGAACCATATCTTTTAGCTACCCTTATACAGTTCTATATATTGCAGTTTACCAATTATTTTCAACTTATAAACTGTAGGTCACTAAAATCAGTAATGTTGTCATTTGAATTATAGCTTTCATTCGGTCATTCATTGAAATTGAATATTTATGGTTATTTCACAATATGTCCAAGTTTTCAATTTTTCACTGTATATCATTGAGTTTTCACAAATATGCACCAAATACCCTTAATGACTATTGAACGTTAGCTTTGTTAGTAATTCATTATGCCCCAAAAACCAATCTATGCCCAGATGCCAGATCTATGTACAACTCAAATCAATAACTTAATACTAAAATCGAAACCAGTGATGACACATGTCATTCACTGATTAAAAATTTTCCCTCCACTTTTATCTTTCCTTTTTTCATGAAAAACATTTATAGCTTATAATATTTACTTTCCATTTTGCTGATAATATTATTCCATACGCACTCAAATGAAATATTTTTATATGTATATATTTTACAGTAATTAATTTTCTGTTATTTTAGTATATAATTGTTATATTAATGTTATAATTCACTATGTAATTTATTAAAATCCGTGCATTGCACGGGACTTTAACTAGTGATTAATAAAGCATAAAATATTCTATTAAAGATTATTATACCTTTAAATAAAGCGCATTTGTAGTTTAAACATAACCAAAAACCGCAAGTGCAATCCCAAAGTCCACCTCCACAAATCAAACCCATCTTGAGTGTATTAGCTTAAAATAATGGGCAATCTAAGATCCCTTAAGTGCATTTAGATTTAGGTTCTGACTTTTAGGAAGTATAATTAATTGTATGATCATCTAATAATCTTGGGGTATATATATAGTTATGTAGGAAATAACCTCCTAAGTAATCCTAGCTAGTAGGAATACGATAGTTATTTAGGAAATAACTTATTCCTCAAGCGCCGTAATTAACTGAACCATATATTATAATAATGCACTTGGCCACTACAATATTGTCCAATTTTTAAATTATTGTCCACTTATAAAGTATATATTACCATATAAAACAAACAACCTTGTCATTTGAACTATTTCCTTCATTTTTATTTAGTTGACACGTTCATTTTAGGCACACATATTAATGAGAGGAGAGAGTGAGAAAAAATGGTAAAGCAAGTGGGGACATTAGTAATTGCAAGGTATAAAACTTACCCAAAAATAAAACGTGTCAATTAAAAATAAACTTACTAAAGAAGATGAGTGTGTATCAACTAAAAAAAGCGGCACTAAGTATTATTTTCGGTCAGTCAATCAACGACGCAAGGTAAACCAAAGTTGTTTATGCCTCAAAATAAGATGATTTAATTTTTTTAGCATCATTTAAGGATAAAGTTCAAACGAAATTATTAAACAATTTTGGAATAATGAGTAGCTTCACATAACGAGTAATAATATAATTATGCCACTAAAGAATATGATTTATATCAACAAATGGAATACTTTAACCTACGCGAATTAAATGTAACAAAATTCATCAAATTTCTTAATTATATTGTCAATTACACCACAAAATAGTGTTCTTTGAACTACATCTTACCAACAGATGATAGTATTATATTATCTTTACCCTTATAATAATGTCAATTTTATACACCACAAAAATCATGTAAATGCTAGATAGATCCTGTACTATTTGCCTTTAATACTCTATATAAATATATATAAAAAAAATTAGCTAATTCCATCTGGTAGAATTAGAGCAGTATGAATTTTGTCAGAGACATCATGAAATCCAGCTATAAAATTGTAATATTATCATCCAAGTAAGCCTCAATAACTTCATCTTCTGAAACATTGTTGCGCACTAGAATTTCCTCGAGTGTTTCCATCTTAGGAAGTATCAGCATTCTCTTCCTCACCTGTATTAGTTGCAGAAAACACTTCTCCTGCAGCCATACTGACCGGCCCCTCGGACTCATCACCAGCAATAATATTTCCCGAGGTCGAACCAGGACCATTCCCGGTTCTTTGAGCCAGAGGAGCATAAGGCAGCTTTGCATTATCATAGCCACCATCTTGAGCTCTCGAGAGCAAAACATTACTTGAAATAACTGTACCAAATCGATCAACTGAAGGAATCATTTTATGTATATTATCTTCTGATTCTCTCCTCTTTGTTTGCCTCGAATTAAAATCAGCATTTGTCCATTGAGGTTGACTTCTGTAGTCACCACCACCATGAAAAGCACTCGGGGGATGAACATTGGTTGAATCAGCGTTACCAGTAGAAGGCAAAATTGGCTGCACTGTTTGCTTCATAGCATATAACTCAGCCTCCAGAGTTTCGATATTAGCTTTGAGACCATTCACTAGATCTAGCATCATATTAATCCTATTTCCCATATGATTCGAAGACTGGCATTTCAAACACATGAAAGTATCAGAGTATGATTATCCTCAGCAAACATTATATATTAGTGCATTTGATCATATACAAAGTAGAACAAAATCAAATTTAGGCCATTTCAACGAATAAACTTATAACAACTTTCTTGAGCGACATAATAGTGCATTGTATATACAAAGTAGCATAGGATAAAAAATTTCTAAGAAAAAACTTCTAACTACTTTCGTGAGTACGTGACAAGATAGTTCATTGCATATAAATTAAAGTAGTATAGGATATGGTTATAAATTTCATGAGTGAAGAGATTTCATATTGGTGCATTGCATATAAGATACTGTGTAAGTTCATAAAGAAATGCATTTCGATCTACTAGAAGTCTAGCATAGATCTGCTGCTTTTTCTTTATTCATGTCACTTTCCAAACATTATTTACATAAGTGTAAAATTTGTTTTTCATTCTTACTAAGCATGTGTCAAGAATCAGAAACAAACCTGTTGTGAAGACATCAACCTTAACTTAGAGTCAGACTCTCGATTACTCCTACGCGGTGGAGGGGGGTTATGCTGCACTTCATTACTCTGAGGAGGCAGATTCTGAAGCAATGGGGCTCGATTGACAACAGGATTTGATCTTGACCCTTGTTGATTCAAGGAACCACGATGATACTGTGAGTGATGCAATAGTGCTGGATTGAAAGCATGATTTGAACTTAACCTTGGTTGATTCAAGGAACCTCGAGGAGGTTGTGACTGATGCAATGGCGCTTGATTTAAAGCAGGATTTAATCTCGACCCTGGTTGATTTAAGGGACCACGAGGAGGCTTCGACTGATGCAATGGCGCTTGATTTAAAGCAAAATTTGAACTTAACCCTGGTTGATTCAAGGAACCACGAGGAGGCTGCGACTGATGCAAATCATGCAATGGGGCTTGATAGAAAGTAGAATTTGGACTTGACCCAGGTTGATTCAATGAACCATGAGGAGGTTGCGACTGATGCAAATCATGCAATGGGGCTTGATAGAAAGCAGAATTTGGACTTGACCTAGGTTGATTCAATGAACCATGAGGGGGCTGCGACTGATGCATATCAAGTAATGGGGCTTGATCGAAAGCTGAATTTGGACTTGACACAAGTTGATTTAATGAACCATGAGGAAGCTGCGACTGATGCAAATCATGCAATGGGGCTTGATTGAAAGCAGAATTTGGACTTAACCTTTGTTGGTTTAATAAACCATGAGGAGGCTGCGATTGATGCAAATCTTGCAATGGGGCTTGATAGAATTCAGAATTTGGACTTGACCCAAGTTGATTCAATGAACCATGAGGAAGCTGCGGATGATGCAAATCATGAAATGGGGCTTGATAGGAAACAGATGGACTTGACCCAGGTTGATTTAATGAACTGTGAGGAGGTTGCGACTGATGCAAATCATGCAATGGGGCTTGATTGAAAGCAGAATTTGGACTTGAACCAGGTTGATTCAATGAACCATGAGGAGGCTGCGACTGATGCAAATTATGCAATGAGGCTTGATCGAAAGCAGAATTTGTACTTGACCCAGGTTGATTCAATAAACCATGAGGATACTGCGACTGATGCAAATCATACAATAGGGCTTGATAGAAAGCAGAATTTGGACTTGACCCAGGTTGATTCAATGAACCATGTGGATGTTGCGACTGATGCAAATCATGCAATGGGGCTTGATTGAAAGAACAATTTGGAATTGACCCAGGTTGATTCAATGAACCATGAGGAGGCTGCGGTTGATGCAAATCATGCAATGGAGATTGATTGAAAGCATAATTTGGACTTGACCCAGGTTGATTCAATGAACCATCAGAAGGTTGCGGCTGGTGTAAATCATGCAATGGGGCTTGACAGAAAGCAGAATTTGGACTTAACCCAAGTTGATTCAATGAAACATGAGGAGGTTGCAATTGATGTAAATCATGCAATGGGGCTTGGTTGCAAGCAGAATTTGGACTTGACTCAAGATGATTCAATGAACCATGTGGATGTTGCGACTGATGCAAATCATGCAATGGGGCTTGATTGAAATCAGAATTTGGACTTGACCCAGGTTGATTCAATGAACCATGAGGAGGTTGCGATGACTGATGCAATTCATGCAATGAGGTTTGATTGAAAGCAGAATTTGGACTTGACCTAGGTTGATTCAAGGAATCAAGAGGAGGCTGTGATTGATGCAATAATTGGACTCGATATAAAGCAGAATTTGAACCTAACCCTAGTTGATTCAAGGAATCATGAGGAGACTCGGACTGAGATTGAGACTGATGCAATGGGACGACTTGATTGAAAGTAGAATTTAAACTTGACCTTGGTTGATTTAAGGAACCATGAGGAGATTGAGACTGATGCAATGGGACGACTCGATTAAAAGCAGAATTTGTGCTTGACCCTGGTTGATTTATAGAACCACGAGGAGACGGAGACTGATGCAATGGGGCTTGAGTAATAGTAGGATTTAAACTTGATCCTGGTTGATTTAGGGAACCAAAATGAAGTTGCGGAGCAGGATCAAAACCACCATAATGAGGTCGTGGCTTAAACAACGTATCACGATTAAAATCAGGATCAAAATGAAGTTGTGGCCTATACAACGGAGCACGATTAGGATCAAGATCAAAATGAGGCGGCAACTGATATGGTAAGCCTTGATTACTTGTAAAGGCTACCACTAACTGTTGTTGCTCTACACCAGTATCATCATCAACATTTGCAGGATTCAACTGAAATAGCCAGAAATCAAACAACCTCTAAATACTGATAGTATAAGAATTTCAAGAAAATCAATAATTACAAACTAAGAAAGAAGAAACAACATGTATATGTGTCTCATTAATTTGTTAAACAATATGCTAAGTTGCATGATCCATCAAACTAAACACCCAATTATTTAATTTTCCTTCTTAATCCTCCATTATTAAGTAATTAAAATTAAATGGGTATAATTTAAATAATTTTATGTATAATATAAGCCTTAATTTATGCCAAAAAATCAATGTAATTGATAGAGATTGATTATGTAATTAAGTGTAATCTTGTTTTCCATATATAGTGGATACTATAGGCTGTAAGGCATAGTAATTGATTTTGTAATTAAGTGTAATCTTGTATCTCCATATATAGTGGATACTATAGGCTGTAAGGCATAGTAATTGATTTTGTAATTAGGTGTAATCTTGTATTTCCATATATAGTGGATACTATAGGCTGTAAAACATAGTAATTGATTTTGTAATTAAGTGTAATCTTGTATTTCCATATGTAGTGGATACTATAGGTTGTAAGGCATAGTAATTGATTTTGTAATTAAGTGTAATCTTGTATCTCCATATATAGTGGATACTATAGGCTGTAAGGCATAGTAATTGATTTTGTAATTAGGTGTAATCTTGTATTTCCATATATAGTGGATACTATAGGCTGTAAAACATAGTAATTGATTATGTAATTAAGTGTAATCTTGTTTTCCATATATAGTGGATACTATAGGTTGTAAGGCATAGTAATTGATTTTGTAATTAAGTGTAATCTTGTATCTCCATATATAGTGGATACTATAGGCTGTAAGGCATAGTAATTGATTTTGTAATTAGGTGTAATCTTGTATTTCCATATATAGTGGATACTATAGGCTGTAAAACATAGTAATTGATTTTGTAATTAAGTGTAATCTTGTATTTCCATATGTAGTGGATACTATAGGTTGTAAGGCATAGTAATTGATTTTGTAATTAGGTGTAATCTTGTATTTCCATACATAGTGGATACTATAGGCTGTAAGGCATAGTGATTGATTTTGTAATTAAGTGTAATATTGTATTTCCATATATAGTGGATATTATAGGTTGTAAGGCACTTTTATATAAAAGGAAGGAAGGACAATAATCTCCTCAAGGGAGTATTTCACTTATTCTTACACATATATTAAGTAGTGAAATTTATACCAAGAAACTGTTTTAAACTATGACAAGTTGAATGAACCAATAAATTGAACACCCATATAATTCTCTCGCATTAATAAGCTGTACAAATTGTATGATCAACTAAGAAATTGGGAAATGGAAAATGCAAAAATTAATATCAAAATCTTACTTGATCATTGTTGTAGTCATCTTCTTCCAACTTTCTCTTCTTGGTTTCCATTGCAATTACAATCTTCAAAGTTGAAAATGAATTTCAATAAGTTTTATCAGTAAAAGATTGATTTTATTTTATTTTATTTTATTTTATTGTGTGTGTGTGTGGGGGGGGGGGGGGGGGGGGGGGACAGAGGTTTCAATGTTTTGAGAGCAAGAGAATTGAATATCTGTTTTTGAGCGGTAAAATACATTTATAAATTTTATTATAGGTTGGGTCGGTTTTTTTTTTTTTTTTTATTATTACAATTAGGAGTTTGGCTAGGTATTTATCAAAAGGTAAGAGAACGGAGGAGAAGAGAAGAAAGTTTAGGGTAATAATTTTATTTATGACCGAATTTCGTTGTTTCGGTATTTATACTTTATGAAAATTTAGTATAATAATTTTACTTATGACCGGATTTCGTTGCTTCGTCATTTATACTTTATAGTTTGTGTCGTGTATTCTTATTGGCCTTCTTTAATTAAACTATGAGCCCTCAATGGAAATATTTTATAGATTTCAATTTTACAACATTGAATATTGCTATAGTTTATGTAATGTACCATTGTACCATATGTTGAACTATGTGGAGTTTAGCTGATACTTTTGCACGATAAGGGTTCACTTGTTGTATAGTGTGCGTATAAGAGTTAGTTACTCATGTCTTTGTTAAGTTGGGAAATGTGGGGTGCTTTTTTATTCAATAACCCCAACATATTGAGCTATTGGTACATTTTTTTTTTCAATATATCCTTTTTCAAATTTGCAAGTTTGCTTTTTTATTTATTGAATGTAACATGAACCCTCTCTTACACAAAACTAACATGTATTTATAACAAGTTAACATACAACACACAATTCTATACCATATGTGGTAAATATCAATCTTCAAATTAAAATGTCCTTGGCATTTGGAACATTAACTAATTAGCTACATAACTGGCATGTAAGTGTGTAACCAACAAACATAGCTCTGAAGTCTGAACCAACCGATCAATGTACCTAGCATAACCAATTAGGACCGCACGCGTTATGCTAGTTCAAGAAATTAAAATTAGTCTGAAGTCATACCAAAGTGAGGATCCTGAAGCTTAACAATTAACATGTACATGAAAGAAAGCTGGTTCTGGAACAAGATATGGAAGTATGCTTATGAGGTTAGGTTTCGTTCTTTAGAGGTGGAATCTGATTGCTTCAACCTGGTTAATATGCTATGTGGAAAGGCAAAACAACTCTCAGCAACTCAAGTGATTGTGAATGACTTTTTAGCTCTACTTCAGAATTTTTATTTTTGCTCTTTTTGTTTTGTTAGTAACAAATTCGCTCATTCCATGCCCACAAAGCAGCTTTTATATAATCTTCCTTTGCTCATTTGTCAAAAAAAAAAAAAAAAAAAAAAGTAAGTAATGGGGGTAGTTGTGTTTTGAGACAAAACAAAAAATGCATCACAAAATGCATAGATTTCTTACATTGATTTATAATATGAGGAAATATCATACATGCTAATTTGAGAATTATCTACATCCTTGTTTTTTAATTTTTCTGTGTGTTACATTCTAAAAGACTTATTATTCCTTGACAAACAACAATACTAATAACACCTGCATATTTGCAGTAAAATATCATGTAAATGCTAGAGAAATCCTGTATTACACACTGTACTACTACTTGCTTTTTATACTCTCCTATATACACTTAAAACTTCCTGTTAAAATTCTCAGCAAATTCCATCTGACATCATTACACAGTATGAATTTGGTTAGAGAAATCATGAAATTTAGCTACAAAATTGAAATGTTATCACCCAATTAAGGCTCCAAGAAGTGATAATGATAAGCAAAGAAAGCCTCAATATCATCATCTTCTGAAATATTATCGCGCACTTGAACTTCCTTTAGTGTTTCCATCTTCAGAAGTATCAGCATTCTCTTCCTCACCTTGTTTTTCATCTGAATCCCCTGCAGCTGTATTGACCGGTCTCTTGGACTCATCACCAGTATTGATATTCCCTGAAGTCGAACCAGGACCACTCTTAGTTCCTTGATCCAGAAGAACAACAGGCAGCTTTGCATTATCAGAATCACCTTTGTTTTTATCATCTTGAGCTTTCGGGAGCAAAACATTACTTGAAGTACTTCCAGCTCCCTCTTGAGAACTAACTGTACAAGGCATTGGATCAACTGAAGGTAAAGACATTCCCATATCTTCCATAAATTCTCTGTGTTGTGTTTGCATCAAATTTAACTCATTATGTATCCATTGAAGTTGGGTTGTGCAATCGCTTTCTAGAAAAGCTCTCGAGGGCTGAACATTGGTTGGAGCAACTGTTATCTCCATAGTATGTAACTCAGCATTTATAGTTTGCATATTAGCTGAGAGAGCATTTATTAGATCTTGCAAGGATCTATCCCACAAACTCGGATGCGAAGACTGGCATTCCAAACACAACAAAGTATCAGAATAGGACTTTTATATCAGTGCATTTCGTAAACAAAGTAGCACAACTTTCAATGAATAAACTTCTAACAACTTTCGTCAGTGACAGGACATGAGGACAGTGCATTGCATATACCAGTGTAAACTAGAGTTGCCCAAATTTCATGTGTGACAAAGTTTCAAATAGTACTGCATACAAGATACTACACATGTCCAAAGTCCAACATAGATCTGCTGCTGTTAAATTTGTTGAAGTCCTTAATAAGCTTGTGTCAGGAATAAAAAACAAACCTGCTGCGAAGTCATCAAGGTTAACTGAAGGTCAGGCTCGGGCTCTTGAGTACTCCTAGATGGTGGAAGGGGATTTTGTTGCACTTCTTCACTCCGAGGAGGCAGCAACTGAAGCAATGGGGGTGGATTGACAACAGGCTTTGTACTTGACCTTGGTTGATTCAAGGAACCACGAGAAGACTGCAACTGATGCAATGAGGCTCGATTGACAGCAGGCTTTGAACTTGACCTTGGTTGATTCATGGAACCACGAGGAGACTGCAACTGATGTAATGAGGCTCGATTGACAGCAGGCTTTGAACTTGACCTTGGTTGATTCATGGAACCACGAGGGGACTGCAACTGATGCAATGAGGCTCGATTGACAGCAGGAACTGAACTTGATCTTGGTTGATTCAAGGAACCACGACTAGGCTGCTGAAGCAATTGGCCTGGATTAGAAGAAGGATTTGAACTTGATCCTGGTTGATTCAGGGAACCAAGATAAGGCTGCAACAAAGGGGCACGATTAAAATCAGGATCAAAACGAGGCGCCAACTGATATGATAAGGCTTGATTAATCAGATACAGGCTTGATTAATCAGATACAACCTACCACCAACTGCTGTTGTTCTACACCAGTACCTCCATCTGTTCTGCTTCGGCTGCGAACTTCATTATTAACTACAGGATTCAACTGAAATACCCAGAAATCAAACAACCACTTAATACATGAATTTCAAGAAAATCAATAATTACAAACCAACCAAGAACAAACAACATGTGTATATGTCTCATTAATTTGGTTTACAATATACTAAGTTGTATGATCCATCAAACTCAACACCCATTTACTTTTTTTTTTTCCCACTTATATATTCCTCCATTATTGAGTAATTAAGAAGGTATGATATAAACAACCCAGTAAATCGAAATGCAGTAATCAATCAAACAAAGGAAGAAACAGGAATTCCGAAATTCATAATGCATAACCAAGATTCATGTACTAAGCAGTACAAGTTGAATTAAAAAATAATTTTTTTTTTTTTTTGGACAAGAAATTAACCAATAAATTAAATACACATTTAATTTTCTTGCATTATCATCCATTAATAAGCTGTACAAATTGTATAATCAACCAAGAAAATGAAAAACTGACAAAAAAATAATCTAAGAAAAATAGCATGATTTTAATAATAAGAATGGAAAATATGATCAAAATCTTACTCGATCGTTGTTGTGCTCATCTTCTTGATCATTGTTGTGATCATCTTCTTCCAACTTTCTCTTATTGCTTGCCATGGAATTCACAATCAGAATTTTTCTTTCGTTTTTTAATTTTTGAAAAACAGAGGTTTCAATGTTTTTTAGTGCAAAAAATTTTAAATTGTATTTTTTTTAGCGGTAGAATATCTATACGGATTTCACTATACAGTATACGCTATACAATGGCAATGGATTGGTCGATTTGACACCTTGCTAAATGCTAATTTTGGGCTTAACAAGTCTTGATCGTGCCTCGAGCCGAGACGAATTTGCCTTTAGGAGTTAACCAAGTGTATACTGAAGGGATGTTCACAAGTCGAGCTGAGCCTACCTAGTCTTGGTCTTGGCTCGACTTGTGAACAATTGAACATCCCTTCAGTATGCACTAGCTTGGCAAGAAATTAATTAACTTATTCTAGACTTAATCATGGGCCGGGCTTTAGTGAAATAAGTTGGCTCATTTTGAACTAAGCAATTGAGCCAAGCTGAACCCAAGTTTGGCCAAAATAAACTTGTGGTCAAACTCGCTATTTAGGGTCAAAAGTAACTAGTTTTTCGAGCTGAGCCAAAATATGACTATAAACTAAATTTTAGATTATAGAAAGAAAAAAAAGAGGAGCATGTTGGCCTTAGCCTAGACGATTTTCAAGCTAGGTCAACATTATCAACTTTACTTTATTACCTTCGTTATTGATTGTTTTGCTTATTCTTTTTAAAAGTATGGACGATTTTTTTTTTTTTTAATGCAATTTGGTTCAAAGTTTCATTCACAACTTGGTTAACAAAGATAAGAGAGGATAAATAGGGATAAGAGAAAGGGGTCTTAATATTCTTTGGTTTGTTAAGGTATGGAGATAATAAGGGAATTGGGAACAAATATTGTAGAGAGGAGAATTTAAGTCAGCAAAGTTGGTGGTTTTGAGACAAACAAAATATGATCAATGTACCTAGCATGACCAATTGGAACAATAGGCGTTGTGCTAGTTTAAGAAAAAAAAGTTGTTTGGATAACAATAACATAGGTTTTGTTTGGATATAAATTTCTAGTGACGGAGAAAGTTGTGTTTTGAGACAAACAAAAAATGCATCAGTGCATAGGTTGCTTTCACTGACTTATAACATAAGGAAGTTAAAGCACAAATTATGCAAAGGCGTACATAATTGATGTTTGTACAAAGGCAGGAACTCAGTGTTTACTATACATGCTAATTGAGAATTAACTACATCCTTATGTTTTTTTTCTATGTATTACATTCTAAAATACTCATTATTCCTTGACAAACAACAATACTTATAACACCTGCTTATTTTAAGTAAAATATCATGTAAATGCTAGACAAATCCTGTATTTAACACTGTACTACTATGCTTTTTATACTCTCCTATATACACTTATGACTTCCTGTCAAAATTTTCAGCAAATTCCATCTGACATCATTAGAACAGTATGAATTCAGATAGAGTAATCATGAAATTTAGCTACAAAATCGAAATATTATCACCCAATTAAGGTTCCAAGAAGTGAAAATGATCACCAAAGAAGGCCTCAAATATCATCATGTTCTGAAACATTATGGCGCACTGGAATCTCCTCGAGTGTTTTCATCTAGGGAAGTATCAGCATTCTCTACCTCACCTTGTTTTTCATCTGTATCAGTTGCAAATAACATATCCCCTGCAGCTGTATTGAACGGTCCCACGGACTCACCACCAGCAATGACATTTCCTGAGGTCGAACCAGGACCACTCCTAGTTTCTTGATCCAGAAGAACAAAAGACAGCTTTGCATCATCAGAATGACCTTTGTTTCTATCTTCTTGAGCTCTCGAGGACAAAGCATTACTCGATGTACTTCCGCCTCCCTGATGAGAACTAACTATACTAGGCATTGGATCAACTGAAGGAAAAGACATTGTCATATTTTCCCTTAATTCTCTTATTCGTGTTTGCATCAAATCTAACTCACCATTTATCCCTTGAAGTTGACTTCTGTAGTCACCACTATCTTGAAAAACTCCTGCTGGCAGAACATTGGCTGCACAAACTGCTTGCTCCATAGCATATAACTCAGCATTCAGACTTCGAATATTAGCTGAGAGATGATTCACTAGACCAGCCCAAATTCTTGAACTCGAAGACTGGCATTCCAAACACAAGAAAGTATCAGAATAGGATTATCCACAACAAACCTTTTACAGTAGTGCATTTCATCATATACAAAGTAGCACAGGATCAAATTCAGGCCATTTCAACGAAATAACTTTCGTCAGTGACAGGACAGTGCATTGTTAACTCAAGTATAAAAAACAAACCTGCTGCGAAGTCATCAATGTTAACTGAAGGTCAGGCTCTTGAGTACTCCTAGATGGTGGAAGGGGATTTTGTTGTGCTTCATTACTCCAAGGAGGCTGAAACTCATGCAATGGGACCCGATTGAGACCAGAAGTTGAACTTGACCCTGGTTCATTCAAGGATCCACCAGAAGGCAGCAACTGAAGCAATGAGGGTTGATTGACAGCAGGCTTTGAACTTGACCTTGGTTGATTCAAGGAACCACGATGAGGCTGAAACTCATCCAATTGGGCTCGATCGAAAAGAGGCTTTGAACTTGACCTGATTGGTTTATTCAAGGATCCACGACGAGGCTGCACCTGATGATGCAATTGGGATTGATTGACAGCAGCCCGAACTTGAACCTTGTTGATTCCTGGAACCACGACGAGGCGGCAACTGATTCCATCGGAACCGATTGACAGCAGCCTTTGAACGTGACCTTGGTTGATTCAAGGAATCACGAGGAGGCTGCAACTCATCCAATGTGGCTCGTTTGAACAAAGGCATTGGACTTGAACTTGGTTGATTCGAGGAACCACGATGAGGCTGCGACTGACTCAATTGGGGTCGATTGACAGCAGCCTTTGAGCTTGAACTTGGTTGATTCAAGGAACCACAATGAGGCTGAAACTGATCAAAATTAAGCATTGGACTTGACCATGGTTGATTCAAGGAACTACCACTAGGCTGCTGAAGCGATGCAGGTTGATTCAGGGAACCAAAATAAGGCTGCCACTGATACATCAACAGGGCATGATTGAAAACAGGATCAAAACCAAGATATGGTAAGGCCTGATTAGAAGCTACCACTAACTGCTGTTATTCATCTGTTCTGCTTCCGCTCCCAACTTCACTAATAACTACAGGATTCAACTGAAAAACCCAGAAATTAAACAACTACTTAATACATGAATTTCAAGTAAATCAATAACCACAAACCAACCAAGAAGAAACAACATGTATATATGTCCAAACTCAACACCATTTAATTAAGAAGGTATTATATAAATAACCCAGTAAAACGAAATGCAGTAATCAATCAAATTAAGGAACTATATAACCAAGATTCTTATGTTAAGCAATAGAATTTATATCAAGATACTGTTCGAAAATATGATAAGTTGATTGAACCAATAAATTGAACACCCATTTAATTCTATCGCATTAATAAGCTGTACAAATTTTATAATCAACTATGAAAATGGAAAATGCAAAAAATAATATCAAATTATTACTTGATTCTAAGAAAAACAACAAAATTCTAAGAATAAGAGTCGAAAATCTTACTTGATCATTGTTGTTATCATCTTCTTCCAACTTTCTCTTCTTGCTTTCCATTTCATTCGACTGATATACCCAAAAATCAAATAACCCACAATAATCAATTGTTTTACCATTATTCACTTGTTGAAAAGGTATAAGAAACCCATTAAATTTGAATACAGTAATCAATTTCATAATTTGTTACAAGATTTATACCAAGAAATTGTTTTACAGTATGACAAAGTTAAATGAAACAATAATTTAAAACCCTCTTAATTAATGTACTCCCATAATCCACCATTAACAAGCAATACAGAACGTCTAATCAACCCAGAAAATCGAAATAATTAAAGAAAAACAGTAATTTTTTTTTACAAAAATGAGTAGAAAATCTTAAAGCAGAGGTGATGGGTTCAGATACTTGATCATTGTTGTCTTCGTCTTCTTCCAACTTTCTCTTGTTTCTTTCCATGGCGCTTACAGTTTTCGAAGATGAAAATGATTGGGTTTAATGTATTTTGAGTGCAGAGGAAAGAAAGAAAGAATTTTCTTTGGATTTTTTAATTTTGAAAAACAGAGGTTTTTTTTTTTTTTTTTTTTGAAAGAGAAAAACAGAGGTTTTAATGTATTTTGAGTGCAACAAAATTTCAATTGTGTTTTTTTAGCGGTAGATTGTCTGTCTATACAGATTTAATTTGTATTTTGGAGTACAACAAACCTTGATCGAGCCTTGAGCCAAGCCGAGCTTGCCTTTAGGAGTTTCGAGCTTGAACTGAGCCTAGGCTCGGCTTAGCTTGTTAGCACCCCTACAATATACGATGATGTTTCCCGTCAAAAAAAAAAGGTACGATGATGTAGTATTGTTTGTAAATTTAAATCTCATCATACTTTATAATTACTCCGTATTAATTAAGGTTATAAAATATCATAACACTTATTTTATTCAATAGTTGGTTGAGAAGATAATATTTTGAATAAAATTTGGGTTTTAATGTTAGGATTTAGGATATAATTATGTTGAGCTAGATAAATTTTGTGTATTTTTATATATATCTTGTTAGGAGTTTTGGCTAGTTAGATTAATATTGTAAGCCTATATATATGTGTGTTTAATGGTAAAGGCTCATCAAGTCGTTTTATCCTAAATTTCTTGTGAGTTTAATGTTGTGTATGGCACTATAAAATTGGACATTTTCTCCCTAAATTATGATAAGCTCTTAACCTAAGATTGAATCATAATTCTAAAACCCTATTTTTGTTTGCATTTTCACAGGAATTGAAGGGCTCAAAGTTGAGCAGGATTCGAAAACAACCTACTTTTTAAGTCGTTGGTAATTATCTTTGCCAATAGTTCCTTCGTCTTTGCTTGTTTTTAATTCAAAGTTTTCAGATTTTTCTAATGTTTTGTTTTAAATTGGCGAAACCTTTTATTTTATATACACCCCGGATGCACATAGAAGCATCCAATGGTGTGCGTTTTTTTTTTTTTTTTTTTTTTCTCATTCGATATTTTTTTAAGCTAAAAATACCCTTTGTATCCAGGTACATATATCATGGTCTACAAAATTAGATTAAATTTGTGTGCTGATAGTTTTCGAGTTGAATGAAAGAATACATATGCTTTAATTTGCTGTGAAGTGATAATTTATTAGTGTATTTGACTATTTGTGACTATTGTGCTAGCACCCCTGGCTTACTATATTGTGCTTGTCCTTTATTTATTGTGATGTTTTTATGTATAATGACTTATATAAGTTGCAAATATATATTTTTGGATTGTTATTAGATTTGAGTACGTTGAAGTGTGAATGAAAGATGAGAGATTGGGGTAACTTGGTAAAAGAGATAGTGACTAAAATTGTAGAGCATGTGGAATTCTACGAAGACTTTGAGACTTTACAAAAAATTTGTCGCCATTGGAGACTAGCCGCGAAGGCAGCAAAGTTGAGAGCTAATGTAAAAGAATCGCATACACTTCCATGGTTGATGCTATCAGAAAATGAAAAAGACGCCTACTCAACAAGAAGGCGTCGTTTGTACAGCTTATCTAAGAAAATGGTTTATCAAGTTAACCTTCCTAAGTATTTTTTAAAAATAAGACGTGACCCAAAAAGGTTGTTATCTTCGTATGGGTGGTTGCTTGTGTTATCGGAAAGAGGCCATGTATCTCTCTTGAACCCATACTCGAATGTCATAATAAAGCTTCCAAATATTCATAATTATAATCATGCAGATGAATGTTGTAAGTTCACCTTATCGGCCAACCCCTCAACCACTAGTGATTTCATTGTGTTTGTATCCTTCGCTGAGCCTCTTTGCACAGGTCCGCCTCCTTCGAATCTGGTTTACTGGAGGAATGGTGATGCTAGTTGGATTCGTGTAACAAATCCATATGTTCCTGATCCATATTTTGGATTGGAAGCATGTAGCCTGGACTCGATTGAAAAGTTTCTGTTCTCGGTTTGCCTTGGTGTAACTTTTTACCAAGGAGAGTTTTATGGCACAAATATTTATGGTTGGATTGTGAAATTTGAGACAGCACAAGGCAGTCCTCATTTTCGAGCCGTGACTAATCTATCTTATATCAGACGTGCGCAAGAAGCCAAGTCGCCGTCAAATAAGGGCTTGATCACCTTACTTGGTCATTTTTTCTTCTATTACCTAGTCAAGTCTCAAGGCCAATTGTTGATTATAGGTCAAGTGGTTCGATATTTTGCGATGAAATATAAACCACGGCGATGCACTACAAGATTTGAGCTACTTGAGTTGAATGTTGATAATGGAAAGGTCAAGGAAGTGTCAAGATTGGGAAATAGAGCATTTTTCATAGGTCCAAATAACTCTTCCTTTTCAGTGGAGGTATCTCCTTCTCTTGCCAATGGCTTTATGTCTAATTGTGTTTACTTTGTTGATATTCAAGAGCATGGTCCGTGCAAGGGACCTGGACGTGATGGTAGAGATCATTGTGTTTACAATTTAGCAAGTAGCAAGTTTGAGCGTCGTTTTTACAATGATCATTCATCAGATGTTGCCAAATATACACCATTTACCTGGGTTGAGTCTCCTAATTCATGATACATTTCATGTTTTGATTTAAATTTGTGTAATCCAAAGGATTAGATGTTTGTTTTTCAATAATACATGACAGTTTAAATTATACTTGGTATGTTACTTGTATCTTTTGGTTGTTAGTTTTTTACTAGAAGATTTTCATAAACGAACAAATCCTCTCTAAATTCTTTTTGCCTTACTCATCATTCTCAATCTTAATCTCGATGAGGGTAAGGTAGTTATGTTTTGAGACAAACAAAAAGTGGCATACATACATTGCTTTCACTGATTTATAATATAAGGAAATTAAACCAGAAATTATGCAAAGACGAATGTAACTGATGTTTAAACAAAGGCAGGAACTCGGTGTATGCTAATTGAGTACATCCTTACAACAATACTAATAACACCTGCCTATTTGCAGTAAAATATCATGTAAATGCTAGACAAACCCTGTATTATACACTATATTACCACTTGCTTGTTATATTCTCCTATATACACTTGTGAATTCGGTAAAAGACATCATACAGCTACAAAATTGAAAGAAGTGAAAATGATCACCAAAGAAAGCCTCAATATCATCATCTTCTGAAACATTATCGATAACATATCCCCTGCAGCTGTACTGACAAGCAGTAACATTCCCTGAGGTCGAACCAGGACCACTCCTAGTTCTTTGATCCAGAAGAACAAAAGACAGCTTTGTATCATCAGAATGACCTTTGTTTTCATCATCAGAAATTATGCAAGGGTGTACACCAGCAAAAGAGGCATCATTTCATAACACTCAGTTTTTATAATACATGCTAATTGAGAATTAGCTACATCCTTTGTTTTCTTTTCTATGTATTACATTCTAAAAGACTCATTATTCCTTGATAAGCAACAATACTAATCTGGATATTATATAGGCTTAATTTAGATGAAGGTAAAAGCTGACTATTATTTATCTTTTGTAATTTGGCAGTACTTAGAATTAGTTATGGTTGGTGTTGGCTTTTCTTTAATGATGTACTAATTGCCTAGATATTGTATGTAATTATAATTATGGTTTAAGGTAGTGTTATGCTCAAACTAAGAATTAGGCATCTATTTCGAGCAAGTAGAGGAAATGATAAGTAAACCTTCATTGATATGAGTTTGAAGATTTCATCTGACAGTAGTATTAGTATTACGGTTTTGAGTTTTGCTGTCAATTCAGATTTCTGATACTCCCCATTCCCTCTCTTGTGCTTGCTGGAATTTGAGCTTTCGTATCTTTCAGCTAACATATATTGTGTTTCTACATTCATGTGCTTTCAGATAATGTTTTATGGGTCTGTTCTCAAGAAAATTCATGTTCCTTTAGAAGTGATTCAATAAAAAAAACTGAACTGATCAGTTTTGGACATCTTCTAGTCATGTATGATAAGTGGTAACTTTAGTGTTACTAACAATTTGGGAGTTGGTTTATATATATTACTGTCAGTATATTTTTCTGCTTCATTATGTTGAATTCACCAAAGAACTTTGTTAGCAGGTGACGTTTATCTTATGATTTTTATCACAGGTAGTTGCAATGTTGCATGCTCAACTGCAACTGCTGTGATTCTGTTTCAGAAAAATAATGGCTTAGCCCGCTTAGGATTATGCAGAGATGAACATATTCCTTGTGGCATGAACATATTCCTTGTGGCAAGTAAAATAACCCTGCTTTGGAATTTGGAATGCCGCCTCGGTCTGAAACCAAATTTGCTATTCAAGCTGGTTGATTTATTTTTCTGCATCTTTTAGGCCAAAATGTGATTGCCTCCAAGTTTTTGTTATGCTTGAGAAAATATCTAACCGGGTTACTACAAAAGTGATCTACGAAGTTTTTTATTGTTTTGGACACAAATCTATGGAGTTGATACACACCTTAATTACCATGCATAAAGTATTTCAATTTTTTAAGTACTGATAGCTTGCAAAGGAAGGATATGAGCAGACTATCACATAGAAGGCAATCAAGCAATAATAGAACATCAGCAGGACTAATTTTAGAGTTCTGATGTAAGCCCTTTGCGAACGAATTGCAGATAGAAATTGTAGTATAAAGGGGGAGACTACACGAGTATGCTATCTTATTAGATTGGCTAGTTTTAAGATACAAGTGAAACTCACAAAATCGCAATTACAATACTAACAAGGAAAAAAAAACAACAAAGAGACCTAGCGTAGATCTAGAAAGGTCTGACATGATCCCTATCAAGTGTTCAAAAGAGAATGTTTTTCATCTGCATCTATTGCAGATAACATATCCCCTGCAGCTGTACTGACAAGCAGTGACATTCCCTGAGGTCGAACCAGGACCACTCATAGTTCTTTGATGCAGAAGAACATAAGGCAGCTTTGTATCATCAGAATGACCTTTGTTTTTATCATCAGAAATTATGCAAGGGTGTACACCAGCAAAAGAGGCATCATTTCATAACACTCAGTTTTTACAATACATGCTAATTGAGAATTATCTACATCCTTTGTTTTCTTTTCTATGTATTACATTCTAAACGACTCATTATTCCTTGATAAGCAATACTAATATCACCTGCTTATTTACAGTAAAGTATAATGCTAGATAAATCCTGTATTACACACTGTACTACTACTTGCTCTTAATACTCTCCTATATACTATAATGACTCCCTGTTAAAATTTTTAGCAAAATCCATCTGACATCATTAGAACAGTATGAATTCAGTTAGAGATTCCCTGAGGTGAAAATGATCACCAAAGAAAGCCTCAATGTCATCATCTTTTGAAACATTATCGCGCACTTGAACTTCCTCCAGTGTTTCCATCTTGGGAAGTATCAGCATTCTCTTCCTCACCTTGTTTTTCATCTGCATCAGTTGCAGATAATATATCCCCTGCAGCTGTATTGGCCGGTCCCTCGGACTCACCACCAACAGGAGCAGCAATGACATTCCTTGAGGTCGAACCAGGACCACTCCTAGTACTAAGGATGTCTTCTACAAGATCAATAAGGTGATTCACTTCAGCGATAACTTTGTTGGTTCCAACCACCTAAACAATTGCAAAGTTACGTCTTTCAGGAAAGTTAACCACCACAATTGGTGGGGAGATGAATCTGGATTTTATATACTGGATTAATTCTCCCCTTTTGCTGCATAAGCTAGAGCCACAAGTGAGTGTAACATCCATTCGACTTGCTCTTATTCCGATACATTTTAAGACCCGTGAGGGGTCGGGTGTATCTGTGCCAAATAGACTGTAAGATCCATTACCTGGGACATAAAGAAACCTATCCATCGCATCCATTATTAAGCCCTCAGCTACCTGAACTTGTGACTTAGTTCCTCTGATTTCAAAGGGGATTGTGTATTTTAGTTTTTCATTCTGGTTCTGCCTCACTGTTGCTCCACTTACTTGCTCAATATATTTAACTGTTGCACCTTTTATTCCCATAATCCTGCCCAATTGCGTCAAAGGCACTGTAATATTTTTCGAAGTCATATTTTGTTGCTCTTCAATAATCCGAGCACGCAGCAACTGAGGCAATGAGGGTTGATTGACAGCACGAATTGAACTTGATCTTGGTTTATTCAAGGAACCATGAGGAGGCTGCTGAGGATTTGAACTTGACCCTAGTTCATTAAAGGAACCACGAGGAGACTGCAACTGATGTAATGGGGCTAGATTGACAGCAGGAATAGAACTTGATCTTGGTTGATTCAAGGAACCATGAGGAGGCTGCTGAGGATTTGAACTTGACCCTAGTTCATAAAAGGAACCACGAGGAGACTGCAACTGATGTAATGGGGCTAGATTGACAGCAGGAATAGAACTTGATCTTGGTTGATTCAAGGAACCATGAGGAGGCTGCTGAGGATTTGAACTTGACCCTAGTTCATAAAAGGAACCACGAGGAGACTGCAACTGATGTAATGGGGCTAGATTGACAGCAGGAATAGAACTTGATCTTGGTTGATTCAAGGAACCATGAGGAGGCTGCTGAGGATTTGAACTTGACCCTAGTTCATTAAAGGAACCACGAGGAGACTGCAACTGATGTAATGGGGCTCGATTGACAGCAGGTCTTGAACTTGATCTTGGTTGATTCAAGGAACCATGACTAGGCTGCTGAAGCAATAGGCCTGGATTTGAACTTGATGCAGGTTGATTCAGGGTACCAAAATGAGGCTGCGACTGATTAATAACAGGATCAAAATGAGGCGCCAACTGATATGATAAGGCCTGATTAGGAGCTACCACTAACTGCTGTTGTTCTACACCAGTATCTTCGTCTGTTCTGCTTCGGCTGCCAACTTCATTATCAACTACAGGATTCAACTGAAATACCCAGAAATCAAACAACCACTTAATACATGAATTTCAAGTAAATCAATAACCACAAACCAACCAAGAAGAAACAACAGGTACATATGTCCAAACTCAACACCATTTAATTAAGAAGGTATTATATAAATAACCCAGTAAAACGAAATGCAGTAATCAATCAAATTAAGGAACTATATAACCAAGATTCTTATATAAAGCAGTAAAATTTATATCAAGAAACTGTTCTAAAATATGACAAGTTGATTGAACCAATAAATTAAACACCCATTTAATTCTATCGCATTGATAAGCTGTACAAATTTTATAATCAACCATAAAAATGGAAAATGCAAAAAAAATAATATCAAATTCTTACTTGATTCTAAGAAAAACAGCAAAATTCTAAGAATAAGAGTCGAAAATCTTACTTGATCATTGTTGTTATCAAGCAAAGGAAGAAACAGGAATTTCATAATGCATAACCAAGATTCATATATTCAGCAGTAAAACTAATACCCAGAAATTGTTCTACAATATGACAAAAAAATGAATGAACAAATAAATTAAACACCCACTTAATTTTATATCATAATCGCCATTAAAAAGCAATAAAGAATGTATAATCAAAGAAACTACTAGCAAAATTGCAATAATAAGAGTAGAAAATGTCAAAATGAATGAACCAAATTATTAAACACCCA